CTGTTGAGTACAGTGGGGTAGACTTGATGTCTAGACAAGATAGGGCCCAGAGCTACACTTTTAAGAACCTTCGTAACTTGCTCTGATAGAAAGTAAAACAAAGAATGTTTCTATTATGTAAGGTAAGTATGAAATGCTTAAATTATGTGCATACAATACATAAATTCTGTCACCACTTTGAAGGCTACTACATTTTAATCCTTCATGTCCTAAACACTGATGATTTTCTATGTCCTTTAGACTAGGTTAAAATTTTTAAGGCTGTACAACTGATTAATCTTTACTATTTAAGAGGGAGAAGCAACAGCAAGTGAGAGTGCTGGGAAATCAGCAGCTTACAGATGGCAAATTGAAACTAGACACTATAAGAAGAGAAGGGGGCCACAGATAGAGTATTGAGTAAATATAGCGTACTTGTTGAAGAAAGCATTTTCTGCACAATACATTAACCCACCAAACACAAGTAATTTATGGACTAGATACACCTCTATAGTATAGTTGAGGTTTCAAACTATTACTGATTGTTAGAATATATAGGAATCATCTTTTCCTTATTAAGATATAGAAAATTAAAAGAAAAAAAGTATAGCTAAATATGGATTAGCTACCTACCTATACCAGTGTACACAAAATAATCAATACTTAGCTGTAATGTTTTTTGTTTCATTTAGATCAGGAAAGATCCTAAGGTTTTTCACTCTGAACTTTTTATTTTTAGGAAAAGAGAAAACAAATAAAGAGCAATGCGGCCACTGTTACGAGGGAAGACTTTCATGCCGTAAGGGACACACTGTGGAGGGAGGATGAAGCAACAAGCTAGAGCGCTGACAGGGATTACTTTGGGTGAAGAGGAAAACAGCAATCCACAAGTGGAAGAAGAGAAGTTAAAGGAAGTCGGTATGGAAAGCTACTGGAGAGTTTGTTACGTAGTTTAAACTATTGAATACAAAATTAACGATCTGCAATGTAAACCTCCCACCTAAGTTGCAATTAAAATATTTTTTTAAATTAATGAGCAAAGTCTATGGTCACACAATTAAAGTGTAAAATTCTAAGTAAAATAAGAATGTTAAGTAGGTTGAACTAGATTTACATTACAACCGTATTAATTCATAAGGCAATAGCTAGGTAGGCAGCAATAAAATTACTTCTGAATAACTTTTTTTCCTTTTAAGCTAATATCTGGGCTAAAAAACAGGGGTTTCTAGATGGCTAAAGCCAAAATTTCTTCAGTAAAACAAGCTCCGAGATACCCTTTAAAGTCGGAACTCAACCACTCCCAGTCAAAAGGCCAAGAGTCTCATAAAATAATTTCACCTGTAAGTACTGTGAGAGAAGTCCTGGTGGCGTAGTGACTAAGTGTTAGGTTGCTAACCCAGGTGGCGTAATGATTGCGTTTTGGGAAGCTAACCCAAAGCCGCAGTTTAAGACCGTCCTGCTCCACACGACAGAAATAAGACTTTCCGGATCAGCTCTTGGCAGTGAGTTGGAGGTAGTACTGTGCTCATCTGGCTGTCATCTAAATAAGAGTGCACTGTGGTGAACGTCTGCCTGAAACCAACGATGAGAAGGTAAAAGGGGGGATATTGAAGCGAGATAAATGGAATCAGAATGGAAATCATGAGAATGCTGATACACAGTGAGAAATGTAGCCAATGTCACTGAGTAAGTATAGAAATTGTCAAAGACAACCTAATTTGTTATGTATATTTACACTAAAATAATAAAATATATTTTAAAGTGTACACAGGGGGCTTCAGAGAGGTTCATTGCATAATTCAATTATGTTTTAATTCTACTTCTCCACAAACTTAGGAAGCACCGGATACATACAGAACAAAACGTAACAAAATTAAAAGTGAAACATGAAAGCATAACTTCCCTTGGAGATGAAATCTCAACCCCAATCATCAGTAGAAAAATCATAAGGACTTTAACAACCTTGAAAGCCAACCTAAAAGCTAACTGAAGTTGTAGAACATGCCACATAACAACTTTAGTATATACATTCTTTTCAAGTACACACACAATACTCACCAAGTTATGCTGAACCATAAAATAGATACTAATAAATATGAATAATCAAAATCCAACATATATCTGTGATCAAATTACTGATCACAATCAATAAAAACAAGATATACAATAAACCCTCAATTTTTTTGAAATTAAACACAATTCTAAGAAATCCATCAGTCAAGGAAGAATTATAAATAAAATTAGAAGATACTTTGAAGAAAATTAGAACAGAAATACAACAATAAAAATTTAAACAATTTAGCAAAGTAATACTTAGAGGACATTTTCTAAGTTAAAACCATTATATTTGGGGAAAAAAGAAAAAGAAAGATCCAAGCTATTACTTTAAGACGACAAGGGAAAAAAATATAATAAATCTAAAGTTGAAACAAACCTTTATTATAAAGGTTTTTTTTAAAGGTTAAAAAAAATGAAAGGGCCTTTATGAAGACTAACAGAAAAAACAAAACGATCAACATCAGGAATGAGAAGGAGAAATCACTATCTTATTGTGCAGACATTCGAAGAAGACACCAGATTATTATGAACTGAGATTCAGCAACTTAAATGAAGAGGACAAATTTCTTTAGAAAAACAAGTATTAAAAAAAAAAGTATTAGATATTCCCTTCAGGACCAGTGCTGAGAGGGGCGATACCAAGAGGGTGGAGGGAAGGTGGGGTAGAAAGGGGGAACTGATTACAAGAATCTACATATAACCTCCTCCCTGACGGATGCACAACAAAAAAGTGGGTGAAGGGGGACATTGGACAGTGTAAGATATGACAAAATAATAATTTATAAATTATCAAGGGTTCATGAGGGAGGGGTACTGGGGAAGGAGGGGCAAAAATGAGGAGCTGATGCCAAGGGCTTAAGTGGAGAGCACATGTTTTGAGAATGATGAGGGCAACGAATATACAAATGTGCTTTACACAACTGATGTATGTATGGATTGTGAGAACAGTTGTATGAGCCCCCAATAAAATGATTTAAACAAACAAAAAAGTATCAAAGAGGAAAGAGAACACTTGAAAAGGCCTCAATCTATTAAAGATGTTGAAATTATAAAGAAAAACTTTCTTACATAAGATACTTCCATCACTAAATGTTCCATCTATAAATTTAAATAAGAATATAGATGCTACACAAATGCTTTCAAAAATAAAGAAACGTGTTTTATGAAGTTCATCAAAACCAAATAAGAATAACAACCCCAACAAAACAAAACCCACCAATATCCCCTATAAAGATATATGCAACCATCCTTTATAAAATACTAATAAGTCAAGTCCTGCAATATATAAAAACGGGATCATGTATCATGATTAAGTGGGGTTTATCCCAAGAATGTAATGGTGATTTACGATGATACCCAAATCTAATTCAATTAAAAAAAGAAAAAGTAAAAGGCATGTGATCACCTTAGTATATGTAGAAACAAAATTTGACACAACTCAACATTTATACAAGGTAAAACAAAATCTCCCAGCAAGCCAGAAACAGAATAATATCCTCTCAATCTCTTAAAAAAATCATATCACGCCCACTTCCATCAAATTAATTCAACAGTAACCAGATAAAGGGTTTCTGACTGTAAATCTTTAGGAAAGCAATCTCATCATTCACCAACAAAGTGGCTCATGTGTTTTGAAGCAACAACCTTGCAGTAAGCAGCCCAATGCCACCCAAGCTCCTTCAACCTAATAAAGGGCATTCATAAACACCAAGAACTTGCATGATACTGTTGAAACAGTAAACACTTCCACATAAGACTGGGAGTGTGACAATATTAAATCCTTTTTATCACTTTTAAAAATTCACCACTGTATTATGAGAATTTAGCCAGTGCACTAAAGCAGAAAAAAAAGAAGAAAAATCAGAAAAATGGAAACATTTGTATTTGTAGATGACATGAATATATTCACAGAAAACAAATGAAACAAAAAATTTTCAGAATTAAACAGCAAATTTAGGAAGGTGGTAGTATATGATTTCAAAATAACAATAATCAGTTGTATTTTTGTGTATCAGGAATGAGTGAAAATTTTAATATAAAAACTTATCAAAAATCAAGTTCCAAGGAATAAATCTAACAAAAAAGTACTACACTAATACACTGAAAACTACAAAACACTAAAAAAGTAAGACAATTTAAATAAAGAAATACACCATATTTAAGAATTCTATTAAGCTGGCACGATTGAAATCTTAAAAATGTCTACATATATAGCCAAATATTTTTTATTAAGGAATCAAAATAATCTAACGTGGACTAACAGTTTCAAATTAAAAATAAAATGCTTACTTTCAAATTAGATTTCCATAAACATCTAGTGTACTTCTTTTAATATTCTACTTTGGAACATTTTAAAAGTACATAAAAATTAACACCTCTAATCTTAATATTTGAAAATAACTTTTGCTAACATTTTGATACACTTAACATTTCTCCCTCCCATTTCTATTAGGGTTGTTTTTTAATACTATTTTATTGCGCTTCCCATGATTGTTTAGCTGGAAAGTGAGGCTCCCTTTCACAATTTCTACATAAATTGTTCAGTGGCATTGGCTACCGTTTTCACAACGTGCTAATATTCTCGTTAATTCTGTTCTGGTTGTTCCATTTCCAGTAATCTAGTTTCCCTGACGGTAGATCTTTGCTAGTTTTAGGAAATTATTAGCAATTTATTAAGTTTAATATTTTTTTTAAAGTTTAATAGGCTTTAATTGCTTTATACTAACTAAAAAACTAGTATTCCCTAACAAGCTTAATTATTTTTTTAAAAAGTAAACAAAGATGAGGGAGCACCATTGATAAAGATAACTAAAATCAAATCGTTTTCTTTAACCTTTAAATTGAAATTTCAGTGTCACAAGTGGAAAATACAAAATAGAACATTTATTAACTAAGTATTAACTGAAATTACCATGTACCAAATAAAATAAACAAACATGTTGGTTAAAAAGACTGGCTCTCACCTGTTCAATCTCTTTGGTTTTGGATGCTATCGCTTTAGAGCGACTGGTTAGCTGACTGTCTTCAAATAGTTCTATGCCATCTGCTGCATTTGACTCAGGTTCTTCTGGTTGGTCAATGAACAATGGTGCAGGGGGTCCCGTCTTTAAAAAAGATTAGGACTTTTTAGTTGCTTTCTTGCGTTAACGATACTTTGCATTTCAAAAGACTGTGTATAAGCGCTAATTGGGATGTTATGGTCAGAGAAACTACTTAGTCTAACTTGTTTTAAGAAAACACTTTCGATTTTCACTTTGCATAATGAGCATATGTGAAGAGGATTAAAGCGGAAATAATCACTACTTTTACTATTTTATCTAAGACAAGGCCTCTGGGTTTATTTCATTCCAAAAATATATTTAACACTATATTGAGATTCAGCTAGACAGTTCTTAAGTAATCTATTTAAGGAATACTAAGGAGAAAAAGTCAAACTAAAAATGAGAGGGCTCAGTATATTACAGAGTCAGAAGTAAAACACTTTGTTTCTATAGCCTTTGAATTTACTAAAGTTTCTGACAAGAATGCAATCCTACAAAGCAAAATGACTATTTCTATTGAAAATAAAATATTAATAAATGATCCCAAAAAATCCAGTTCTCTGCTGTACTTTCTAAAAACACTGAACAAATAAATTAGAAAAACTGCTATTCAACTACCAAAAATAAAAGAAAACAAAACAAAAAACACCAATGCCATCAAATCAATTATGATGTTCTTTATTTACAAATTGGTTGACAAAATATCTACGGTCAAATGAATTTTTATAAGGGTGCCAAGTCAGTCTCTTCAACAAATGCGGCTATGACAACTGGATGCAAAAAAAAAAAAAGGTTGAACCTTTCCCATACATAAGTGGTTCTCAACCTTCCTAATGCCTCGACAGGCTCCTCATGTTGTGGTGACCCCCAACCATAAAACTATTTTCGTTGTTATTTCATAACTGTAATTTTGCTACTGTTATGAATCGGGTTGCCCCTGTGAACGGGTTGTTTGACAAGGGGTCGTGACCCACAAGTTGAAAACCGTTGCCTTACATCACATAGGAAAAATAACACAAAATGGATCATATCTAAATACAAGAACCAAACCCACACAACCAACCAGGTGTTTGAACCAGTTCAGAATGGTTCAGTAATTGCCTTCATAAACAAGGAACCAGATCTGTCGTCCATGGTATTTTGATCCAAATGGGAGCCAAATACCGTATATACTCAAGTATAAGCTGACCTGAAGATCAGCCGAGGCACCTAATTTTACCACAAAAACTGCATTAAAAATGTGCTGGAAAAACCTGGCTTATACATGAACATATACGGTACCTTGCTTGCTCAAAGACAGCAGCCAATTGCTATCCTCAGAATGTGAGCTCTCTTCAAAGTCCTGCCATGGCCTTTTCTCCTGAAAGTTTCAGGAACCTGATAGGGGAGTTTGGCTTATTGGATTATATGTTTGTCTCCTGCTCAGATCAAAATACTATAAGCAACAGAAAACAGCATCTCAGCAATTAATGAATCATTCAAGAGCAGTTTGAAGCCTTGTCTCGTATTTAAAAAAAAACATAAGGGTACCTAGTTTCTGACAATGAATTCTTAGAGCTGACACTGAAAGCACAAGCAACAACACACAAAATAACTAACATAAATTTCATCAAAATTAATGACTTTGTGCATCAAAAAATTAAGTGAAGTAAAATGTAAAGTGCTTATACCTACTATGGAAACCAGTTTAACAACTCTTCATAAAACTAAACATTTACCTTACCACGTGACTAAGTAATTTCACTCCAAAGTATATGCACATAAGGCTTGAAATCAGAGATTCACACAGGTATCTATGCACCAATGTTCATTGCAGGATTATTTACAATAGTCAAAAGGGGGAAATAATTCAAATACTCAAGAAAAGACTGGATAAACAAAATGCAGTATATACGCAATGGAATATAACTCATCAGTAAAGAGAAATGAAGTTTTGATACATGCTATGACATGGATGAACCTTTAAAGCAGTATGCTAATTGAAAAGTCAAATTCAAAATGACAAATATTATGATTCCACTTATATGACACCTAGAACAAGAAATTAATAGAACCAAAGTTTGGATTAGTAGGCAGTGGGTTCTGGGATGGAAATCAATTAGTTCAAACAAAATGTGTATTAATTGTTGAATGTAAAAAACTCATGACCTCCACTGTAAATATTCAACTAAATCATAATAAAGAGGTCATTTTTTAAGTATGTAAAACACATAAAGTTTATTAGTGGCTACCAGAAAATGGGGAATTATTGATCCAGGGGTACTTGTTTTTGTTGGAGGTGATAAAAAATATTTTGAAAATGGACAATGGTGACAGGTACACAACATGGTGAATGACACTGAACTGTATTAAGGCTGGTTGAAACAGCAAAATTACCAAGAGACAAATGTCAAATGAACTGGTCTACTGGGAAAATCTAGTAACCATTCAATAAGTTACTTCTCATTTTGATAACCAGAAGGAAAACACTCAGGGCCATCTGTTTAAAGATAGTGAATTTCATCTCCACAGGCCCTGAATGCAAGCTACTTACTTGACGGCTGGGATGGTGTCTCCAGTGCAGCATGTGACTCAGTAGATGGCGATGAGTAGTTAGTGAATTTAAACAATGATAAAAATTCAAAAACTAAACTCACTGCTGGCAAGTCCATTCCAACTCACAGCAACCCTAGACAAGGCGAAATTGCCCCAGTGGGTTTCTGAGACTGTTCACTCTTTACAGGAGTTGAAAGCCTCGTCTTTCTCCCTGAGAAAAATATACAGGGTTTTTTCCTCTGTGTGTAAAGATGAATAATAGCTTGTATTATTTATCAAGCTTTTGACTATGAAGGTCTATTCCCTTATAAGCATATTTTGGGACTGGTGTTTCAAGGGACATATTAACAAAACTCTTAAGAAAGAAAGACAGGGATTTTGTTGTTTTTCTGAAAATAGGTCCCTTGAAACACTAACCCTAAAACATGCTCATTGGAAGGGTGACCTTTACAGTCAAAAGTTTGGTAAATAGTGCAAACTACTAGTCATCTTCCTTTCACAGACCACTGTAGTAATTAAATAATCTCGAATCAACTTGAAAGTATTACGAATGGAGGGGTGGAGTCTAGCCTATCAGGTCACAGCCTGATGATGCTTCCTTGTGGGCATGAGGATTCTGGGAACTTTGTCTCTTTCTCTCTCTCTGCCTTGGTCTTCCTGTTGACAAGCCAATGGAGACTTGCTGAGACCTGCAAGAGCTCTCTCTCTGATTTCACCGCCATGTGGAGACCCTTGCCAGCAATGAGATGCTTCCACAGCCACTGGATCCACAAGATTGTGCACTCACCGGTCTGTGATCTCCCTGCATTATGCATCACTGCAGGTGACTGTAAGTCTGAAGAAGTAATTTTGGACTGGTATTGGACTTATGGGCTAATACTGGACTCGTGGACTTGATCTGGGCTAGGCTGGGATGTTTTAATATACAATTACTCTTTGGTATAAAGCTCTTTCTTATACACACATGAATGTCCCTGAATTCATTTCTCTAGTCAACTAAGTCTAACACAACTCCTGATAAGCACATTAACATATTAAAGATCTGAGAAATGCTGCAATAGCAAATAGGACTTATCTCTTTTAAATCTAGCATTTCCTCAAATACCCACTTACACAATCTTTTTGCCTTATACCATTAAGAAAGGAGTTCTTGGTAGCTTTGCAAATTAAATACTCAAGTGCTAATGCAAAAGATGGGCAAATCTAACCCAGCAGCTCCTGTGTAGGAGCAGACAGTATGCTTCCGTGAAGACTATAGCCGTGGGAACCCCACAGGAGTGATTGGACTTTGCCCCAAAGGTGGCCAAGCTTAGAATGAACAGGAGAGCAAAGGGGCATTTCAACAGGTATACTATTAAAATCTATTAGAATTACTATTTTGTATTACTATTTTAAATGCTCTTCTGCAATCAAAAAGGTGAAAGCACAAACTAAATAGAGCAATAAACTATAAAATACAGTCTTCCAACTAAATAGAATATGTGATGGCAGCAAAGAAGACAAGCTGGAAGGCTACTTGTTCATCCTCTCTCTACTCATAAAATTAATCTATAAAATAGTCACACACACATTTTTTCCTCCAAGTTATTCTGTCCAAACTGATATAAATTTGCATGAACAAGGACAAAGTGTTGTCTCTCAAAATGCCCAGGATATTGAAATGAGTAACTTCTGAACAAGGTCAAGAAAAACTGGCACTACCTGAGCAAAATGTGTTTAAGTTATGACAAGATTGTTTGTTTTAAAATAGCACAAAAATTCCCCAACTGAATTATTTCTAGAATGAGAGAGTATCATTAACCTTAAAAGCATTTTAAAAGATGCTATTAAATTGATGCTGCTACTCAACTTTAAAAGGGCATAACCTCCAAAACCAAACTCACAGCCATTGAGTCCATTCTGACTCATAATACTGACCTTTTAGGACACAGTAGAACTTCCCTTTGAGTTTCTGAGGCTCTAAATCTTTACAAAAGCAGAAAACCTCATCATGTTTCAGCTAGTGGATTCAAACTGCTGACCTTGTAGTTAGCTGCCCAGTACTCTCACCATTTGCCTTTGGTCCAACAAAAGATTGTTTGACTTATGTCCCCACTTTAAAATTCTAGTATTATTTACCTTTCATTACTTAAGAAATCTAGCAAATCTTAGGCATAAATGGAGGGGACAAGTAAAAAGGTCTATCTAGGCTCTCAAGCCCCATTCAAGCAACGAAAGAACATAAAAAGAATATCTAAAATCTGAGAAGGGTAGACATAAGACACTGTAAAAACTTAAAAGGTATTACAAAGAGAGGTGTGGGAGATACACTAATAAAGCCTTGCTAATTAATTATAAAATATTAAAGATAAAATTAAAATGTCTTTGGGGAGATTTCTAGTTTTAAGTCCTCTGAGAAAAACTGTCAGTTCTTCAAAATGGCAACTTCTGAAGTGTGAATGTCTATTATTAATATAAAATTTATTATTTTATATTATTTTAAATAACTAAAATCACCCTATTAAATGCATTACTGCATTGTTCATGCTTTTAAATAGTGTTGGGAAAGTGCCAAAGAGAAAATGCTGGATATTTCAGATATGTTTGCTCAAGAATATGTATAAATATATTACAATGGCTACAATAACAAAGGAACCTTGACCTATTTAAGAACAATTGATATCTAAATGACAAATCAGTGTTTCTTAAAAAAGAGACTATTTGCGTAAGTACTGAAAGAGTTTGTACTTTCTTTGAGTAGTCTCCAATATAACTTTGAAAGAGTATTTTCATTTTATATAATTTTTATATACAATCTATTTTAGATAGATATTTTATATTGATCCCATTCACCAAAGGCCTTTAACATCAAAACCATTCAAAAACTTACTGATAAGCCGGAATTCTCCTTCAAATGTTAATAACAACACTGACTTTTATATTCTCTGCCTATGCTGTCAAAATAAATCATCAAGCATCAATGAGGTTTTGATTAAAAGCTTTATTTCCTTCCATGAATTATCTTCCCCTATTAGAAATATTACAGGTTGTACAGAATTTTTCAACTTATTTTAAAATACTTTAATACAAACATTTAAAAAACAATACTCTCTGAGTCCTAACGTGCTTTTTTTTGTTGGGGAGGGGGCGTTCAGAACAACTTAAGATTCATCAAAGGCCAAAAGAAGTCCAAAGCTTGCACTATTTCATTTCTTGGGAAATTTATGAGGTATGGTGCATATAGTACAATATGCAATGTGAATATAATTCAAGAACCATTTTCTTTCCTGAGTTCACCAAGTTTTTCATTTTTGTTCTGAGTTCACTGGTTATGACTTGTGGCTTAGTATTATTTCCAAGATATTTTTTTCCCCAAGGACTTGAATGTCTCTCCTTTTTGTATGATTTGGATCAGAATTTAATGCAAAACTTATTTTTATTCACTGACATACATATTTTGTTTTGTGACATTTATATAGCAGTACTCTTCCTACTTTCTTTTTTTCCCTCTAACAGCTTTATTGGCATCTAATCCACTTATCACGCAATTCAACAGTTAAATCGCATCAGGAAGGTTGCGCAATCCTTACCAAAATCAGTTTTGAAACATTTTCTTCAATCGTGTACTCATCATTATTAGCTCCCCCATTCCCCTCCAACCTCCTCTGGTATACCCCCAAGTAACCATTAATCGAGTTAGATCAAGTGATAGGATGCTAAGTTTTAACCTAACTGAAACAGCAACAATCCACTTTCCAGTGCATTCTCATGTTAACATGACTATTCATATCCCTGACCCATGTGTTTACCATCCATTCTTCCATCCCTACCCCTTCTAGCTTCCCGAGCTTCATCCCTAAACAAATGCTGCCCTTCGGATCTCACACTATAGCTGGCTTTTATACGTGCTCACCTACTCTGCTGTGACTTTTCCCTTGATGGCCCATCGATAATGTGGACGAGCGTTATGGCACTAGGATGAGTTCGGTTCCAGGTCTTGAAGGGTCACTAAGGGACACAGTCCTAGTTCACCCAATCCTCCTCTGACTTGTAAGCCCAGTGTTTTTTCAGGATTTTAAGTTTTGTCTCACATTTTTCTCATACTCTATCTAGGATCTAGTTTTCATATGATTCCATTCAGGGAGGTTACCAGTGGTATTCAGGCACCATCCAGTTCTTCTAGTGCAGGGCCGTGGAGGATGAAGTTTGGGTGGTCTACTACTCTTTTACATCAATTGTTTCCTTGGGTCTTTAATTTTCTTCACTATTCTTTGAGCCCTGGTGACGTAGTATTTATGCACTGGGTCTGAAGTTCAAAACCATCAGCCACTCCTCACGAGAAAGAGGGGACTTTTTACTTCTGAAAACAGAGTCTTGGGCACTGACAGGGTCAGTTCTACTCTGTCTTGTAAGGTCACAAAGAGTCAGTATTGACTCGATGGCATTGAGTTTGGTTTGCACTTTTGTTCTTTGATTAAGGTAGGGAGAGACCAATAGAAGCACCTTAGATGGCTGCTCACATGCTTTCAAGGCCTTAATGGCTACTCATCAAAGTAAGATATGCATTATCTTTGACTAAATTATGTCCACTGACCTGAGTGTCCCAAAAGCTGTGGTCTTGAGTCCTCAGGCACAATGGCTCATTCTTTGCAGGTATTTGGTTATGACTGGGAAATTTTCATAATGTTGCCCCCCCTGTAAAAGCTACTATATTTATTGATATATGTGGATACTTCCTAAGACACCTTTAACAGCAAACCCAACATTTAAATACATTTTTGTCTTTACTCTATACACCGTATTTATAATTGCCCTACACGCCAAAACTACCGGAGACAGACACAATGATTAATGAAGTTAAGAGCTATTCATATTTGGATTATTACTCTAACAACTTTTTAAGAGAATATTTCCAACAAATAGTTTAAAATACTAAAACTAAAGATATTTCCCTCAAATTAAGAGTTGAAATTCCATATGAAACTTTTGGATGTGAAACACAGAGAAGAAAGTGAGCCTTACCTCATACTCAGCGATTTCGGGTAGGTTACTTTCATCTGCCTTCTCTCGCTTTTCAGCAGCCCACTTGCTTGCAGCCTCAGCGAGTTCCTTTTCGGTGAGCCTTCCGGGCTTGTCTAACACCTAATAAAAACAAAGAACACTCTCATTACAATTCTCAAAGGCTTTTAAGCTTCAAATGCACTCAGAAGTACATTCTGCTAACACATAAAATCATCTAAGCCTTCAATTTCTATGGGAGAGATTTTCTTTATTTTCTTTAAAAGATATACGACCCCTTTCACCTCAGACTGATTTACATCTGATAACACACTTTACTCCTTCCTTCTGTCCCACAGGAAAACATCTGACATTCTTTTCAAAAATATCCTACATTTACTCTTGATTCTTTCCACTCTCTATCCATTCTCCATTTTCATTTGTTCATTTATTTGTTTGACAAGCATTTATTACATTCTTATAACATGTCAGATTAAATTCATGGGCTACTGAAATAAAAAAACATATAAGGGAATTCAAGGAACTAGCAGTTGTTCAGTAAAGGGGAAGGGGAAGAAATTGATATGCATTGGAAAATGGGAGTTAAGACAGGGAACAAATAATAGAGACTTGTAGTTGATAAGGAAATATTAGCTATGGTAGTTACACAATCTACTGTCAACTTGAGACTACTAAAAGTGAAGAGGTGGAGTTTATCCTGTCAATCAGGTCACAGCTTGATGGCCTCATTTGGAGGCGCTAAGAAGATAAACAACTCGCTGGAGGCAAGACACAGATACACTCCCTGGGAGATATAGTCTCTGACAAGACACATGGAGCTATACTAGAGCCATGGGGCCAGAGAAGCCACATCGAGACCCCTGCCAGTGCTGAGATGATTACAACGCCACTGGACCCACAAGACTTCCCACCCATTGGCCTCTGACCTTCCTGCATTCGGCATCATTGCATGTGTTTCCTGAATCTGAAGAGGAATTTATAGATTGGTATTGGATATATGGGCTAATATCGGACTTATGGACTTGACCTGGACTGGGCTGATATGTTTTCTCAATATACAATTGCTCTTTTATATAAAGCTCTTTTTCATACGCACACACACACAAAATACTTGACAGAATTCTTTTTAGTGACAATTCCTTTAAGACCATTAACACAAGGTAGGATTCACAATTTCATTTACATTAAATGTCAGAAATTATCTATTGAACAAAGCAAAAGCGAACTAACAAGTTAATTGACAATTCACATATTAGTTATTTTTGCAATAAGGTGCTGTTGTTGGGTACCCTTGAGTTGGTTCTGACTCATATTGACATTAGGTACAAAAGAACAAACCACTAATAGAGGCTGTGTCTTCCTCACAATAGTTGCAGTATTTAAGTCCACTGTTCTAGCCACAGAAACCCTGGTGATGTAGTGGCTACATAGGCTGCAATCCATGAGGTCCGCAGTTTGAAACCAACAGCTGCTCTCATGGAGAAATGTGGGGATTTCTACTTCTGCAAAGAGTCCGCCTCAGAAATTAGCAGGGGCTGTTGCAGCCTGTCCTAATGAGTCAGCATTAAATGATGGCAAGAAGTTTTTGCTTTTCTTTTTTGAGTTCCAGCTATTGTGTCAATCCATCTCGTTGAGGATCTTCCTCATGTTTGCTGCCCTCTACCAAACATGATCTTCTAGTCCTTCTCCAAGAACTAGACCTTTCTGATAACACCTCCAGAGTTCAGGATGTTGCTTCTAAAAAAAATGGTTCATATCTTAAAAAAT